AAAATTTTTCCTTAAAGGAGGTTGCAGCTTTAAATTCTTTACTTTTGAATTCAACAACTTTTTTTAACAAACCAAATAACTTGGTTTTTTAAACTTTTTTTATCTATTGATTACTGAGATTGTCTTTATCACTGGAAACCATATCGCATGATAACAAAAAAAATAACCGTAAAAAAACAGACTAACCTTCGAAACCAATTTAACCTTATATATCAAAGCTTTATCGCCCTCATTATTATGTTATAAGTGTATATTTTCTAAAAATTTTTTGAAATTCTTTTCAAGGGTTACCGTATCGCATGGATTATCAAGTGCAGCCGCAAATTACTGATCGTAGTTACTGGTCTGTGTTGAAAAGCCATTTTACTTATTGGGCTAATCCCGATATTGCGGCATTTATTGTAAACTGTTTATATCGAGAAGATAAAAAACAAGATGACAAGTGTTAAACAGTTCATAGTCTTTCAGTACTTTACTCTGTGTTTCAGTGGCATTTTTCCTTCTTACAGATTATTTCTGATGAAATTTTCTTTCATAAATTAAAGTAGAATAGGCAAAGATTTACGTATAGCAATGTTGTTTTTTTCGGGTTTTTTTTTTTTGCTTTTGGCTTAGTTTTTTGAGGTCAAAATAATTTTAGAATTGACTGCTATTCATGCCTGATAGCTCTATTATGTTGTAATTTCTGGTTGCCATTATTTTCCTATTGCATCCAGTAGCTTGTACTTCCCATTGATTGCATAAAAAATCAACTGATCACAGAAATGGGAATGGAGATTCCAGGCAAAAAATTGATCTATGAATTCTAAAATCCAATTAACATTATTATTTCCACTGCGTTCACTGTATTGTTGAAAGACTGTATTTCTCGAGCAATTTTTGTGATAATTGGAATAATTTCAAATTTTTTTACTGTACATATTTTTCTTCTATTATTCCAGTGCTTGAAGTTTTTTTCTCCCGGGTTCCTCTCGTGGTAATTTGTAGATGCAAAAAGAACGAGATTTTTCATATTATCTAACAAATTTTAAATATCAGAACATTGTACCCATTATTTTTCATTGAATTATACGTGTACATTTGATTCTTCAATTGACCATTGCTTTAGAATGTGAATGCAATGAGGTTTTGACATGTCATTTTTTCCCATAATGTTTATTAAATCTTTGAGTTTTCTTTGAGCATTACATCATTGCCAAGATCGAATATATCATCCGCGGAAGCAAATTCCACAAATTCAGAGATATCTTCTGATGAAATTTTCAGAAAGCTTATTTCGATGAAAAATCAACTAGTTAGAATGCAATTTTGGCGGAAAACTCTCTAATCTATGAACAAACATACGTTAATTCATTTTCTTGTAGTCCAAAAAAGGTGTGGTTACATGGGTGGGTTCAGGTGATTTTTTTCAACGCAGTATTATTAATGAAAGTGCTACAATTTCTGCAGATTATATGTGTCGGCCGTTCACTCTTCAAAGTTTCGCTAATTAATAGGAGTTGTTATATGCGATACCCGAAGGTGGTAATGATAAGCACGAGTATGCTTGATGATTGAATTTAATTCTCATGTTTCGATTTTCTCCTCGGGGCGGTTGTAACTAACTATTGATTGGTGTGAAACATTGGAAAAAAGTCGCAGAAGTGATATTTCAAGTACGAAACATAGAAATATAAATATTTGAAGTGATTATAAAGGAAGTACGTAGGTAGTGCTTTCAAAGTGTGCCTTGCTTAATTGTAGCTGTGAAAGCATTCAGTTCTATAAGTAATTTCAAGTGATCTTCAAATAATTTGAAATATCCATTCTGCATCATTGGTTTAGTGACCAACAAAAACCCATGGCGTCATCAAAAAGGTTCAGATACATAATATTTAAGGAGCCAGACTGAAAGGGAAAAAAACAGATTTGACGATATAATTAAAAGCTTTTGCAATCCACAGATTTCAGATGTGCCTCGGTGACGATGAGTGAAAAGCCTAATTTAACAACAAACAGCCACGGATGTACTTGTGCGCGTGCATTTTGATACCCATTAACTTCATATGATCGACATTTTCGCTTTTTTTATCAATCGTTATTACGAGGAGTAAGTCCTATGATTAATTTGCGCAGTCACTCAGATTTCATTGAATATGGTTAATAAACAAACGGAGATGTATATATCTTCACTAGCGGTTGTATTCAACTTAAGCTTGTGAAAAGGATTAAAATGCAAAATGTAAATTATCCAAAAACTTTTTATGGTTTAGAAATAAATTAATTATAAAAACCGTTCAACCTTCATCAACCTTATCCAGTGCTGAACTCCGAATTAAACTTTTATTCGAAATAGATCCAAATTTTATCTGAGAATTTTTCAGCTGAATACTCGGAAAGATCCACCAAAAATGAAGACGACATATAGCCAGCATGACAAAAGGTGTTAAAGCGTTAACAGTAAGGCACATACTGTATATTTCAATCGCTCCATAAAATCGTTTTTTCTTCAGCTCATATTTATTTACAAAGGTATTTTTACTTTAATTACAATAGAGAACTTCTGCATAACCTTTCACAAGACCAATTTGTTCCCATAACATACGATGTTTGGAATGAACCCGTCTTTCATTCCGTACATCACGTGCTTACTGGAACAAATTATCCTGTTATCGTTATTCTTGTTATCGATAATATTAATTTGGCATAATCAATCAGAATAAATGATTGCTTGGGAATATTTGAGATGGCATAATTTCCTACTTTCGTCCTGTTGAGAAAGAAATAACGAAAAACACCGAAGTAGAACACTATAGTGATAATTTTGTGACAACTCAACTACATTAATACTTAAATCAGTTTCTAAGGAGACTGTCGAAAAAACCGACGATTTAAATTCGGGGAAAAACCGAAATATTTTCATGTAGAAATAATCGGAATAATTGAAGCATTTTTGTATCACAAATATTTTTAAAGTAACTGATGTAGATGCGACAAAATATAAATTCGTTGCATGAAGATTGTTTTAATTTGAATACTTCTTGGATAAATGATTGATATACTTAAAACATCTTCCATTAATTTGTCATCTAGCTTAGCTGCGGTACCTGCATTGTAGCAAACAAACAACATCGCCCTCTGTTCGTAATGACCGAGTCTTTTTTTTGTATGATCGTCCAATGCCATGATTATTTCCATAGCAAGATTACTGTAAACAACGAAACCCTTTCACTATAAGATTCTTCCAATCTTACATCAGGTGTACGCTCCGATCGATTCAACACTGCCATTATCCATACCTTGTAAAATCCCTGCCAAGAACAACCAACTGATCAACCATCTCTGCAATATCCGCTAATTATTATCTTATAACGTCTAGCCCCGTCAATCAACAAAGCGTTTAGGGAAATGATTTGTTCGTGTCAACAACCCATTAGAAAAAAACCTTCACAACAAGAATCATAGGAGCTTGTAAACAGTGCTGCTTTCTATCAGTTACCAATTATTCGTTTATTCAGCACTTCACAGATTATTTGCAATCTGTTGACATTACTGCTCAGTAAGTTGGGGAATTAACACTATCTTCTCTTGCTATTTTACGTGACCAAACGTACGCTTAAATATCACACTCTTAGCTACAGCATGGAGAGGCGGACCAATGTCGCGAAATGATAGCATAACCAACTCATTCTAATGGGTTAGTGTGAAGGTGGCAGACGTGACTTCATTTGATTTTACTAGGACAGAATCGAGGGTGGAGAAGATGGCTGGATGGAAAGGGAGCTGAAAAGTGATTTTTCAAGTTCTTCGTAACTAGTACAAAAAAGAAATAAGTTGATAGGTGATAAGGGATGTCGTAGTAAACATAAAAGATGAAAAAGTCACTACTACCTTCCTCCTTATCTCCATCTCTTCATTTTCTTGAAATCGAAAGAAAACTTCACAATCGTCAGTGTTACTGCTGGACTTTTAGACTTTTTCATTTGTTGTCCATGGCAGAGATTCTCGCACTATGAATATACCTTCCTCTCAATCAAGGGGAAATGATTCCGAATTTTACTTCAAGGCACTAATAAGTTAGTTTCATATCGGATTTCTTCTGTTTCAAGATTTCTTCAAAAACATTCTGAAATGAATCGATGCGATGTGTGATGCAATTTATAGAGAAATTTTAAAAATTTAGTTTCGAATATAGCTGTGGAATGCCGAAATGAAAAAAGAAAACTACCATTTTCTTTTTGCTAATAATTCTTTTTTACAGAAGGTATATCTTATGAAATAAACAGTCAAGGGGAAACGATTAAGCGACTGGCTGGTCGCACACGGCTTCAGATATGCAATTTACCGCCGTTAGAACTGCCCACTGCAGTTGATAATTTCGTTTATGTTCGAATTATTAATATTGAAGGTAATAAGTTAGCTTTTCGTTTTTCGAAAGTAGCAGTAATAGAAGTGAATCAAGTTATTTTAATTTGATGGAGACAAGTGGGTCATTTTATTTGGAGAATGGACCTTGACTTTAAAATGTTATGGACAGGATTCTGAAGTTCTAATTTATAAAATATATAGTGCAAATTGCTTAGGGCAGATTCTTAATCTTGCTGATTTTCCTTCGAAACTATGCAAAAAATTACGAGCGAAAGTAAAGAAATAGTTCATGCAATTAAAAACATGCATGCATAATTAAACAATTCACTGAAAAACTAATTGAGAAAGCTAGTTCATCTCTTACTGTTAGGAATATGACTTCTAAATAAGTAAACACGTCAGTAAATGATAATTAACGGATGTAAGTGTCGGTAGTATTGTTGATTAAGATATACAGCAAAATTGAGTTGCGCTAACATTAAATATTTTTATTTAAAGGTATGAAGAAATTCTTTGGCACACTAGAAAGGAACCGTTCGTTATTGGATGATTTGCAGAAAATGCTCAACGATGTGAAGTCAGCCAACTGTAAATCCCTTTTTGATCCAGCACTTGGAGAGATTGTTCTCGTGAAGTTAGTTTAAATATAGATTACAGGGATGTAGGATAGTGCAAATTATTTTTGAATTCCGTTGAGCTCCTTTTTGAAACATATTTTATGTAAATATCCTGTTTTCAATGGTAAAAATTATAAACTTCAGAATTTTTTAAGAACGTAAAAAATTCAACCGAAATTTCTATGGTTCTGGTAAGTATTGGACATCATGTTGTCCCAATGACATATCATGTCATTTTCAGGATTGGCGAAAGATTTGTTCGTGGATGCGTTGTGTGCAAAATGCATTTCATGACATGTACAGTAAGCTGTAGATTAATAATCTCTAGATTTCGTTTTTTTGTTAAATATTTCTTGTTGTTTATTGGTATTTCCTCAGTTTGTTTATTTAAAAAATTTTAAGACTTATTTGGTTGATTCTGGTCTCACTATGGAGGTAGAATTAGACCAGCTGTACGTGATTGATGAGGAATTGTTGAAAATACCTCCACAGGCTTTTTTGATGTTACTGGATGTTGATATTGAAGAACCATTAATATCAAACGACGAGCTTAATGCAATGGTCAAAGATACTCTTGTAGCTTTCCGCTTGAGTAAATTTCTTAACTGTTTTTCTCACCTTTGTAGTTATTTCTTTTCTTAACCTATAGCTGTCCTTTTTTTTTTTTTTTCTTTTTATTTACTCACGTATAGTGAAAACCTGAGAAATCTCAAAAGAGAAAATATGATCATTAATCACCATAACCGTAAATGGTTTTAGGTGGCTAGTAAAAAAATTTTTTTAAGAACATGTCTCAGAAAACGGCGAAGCATTCGTTGGTGCAATGATAATGCGAGACGAAAATGGCGAGATTTGTGACATAGGGAACATAATGCTAGAAGGTGTTCATGCAACTAATATTCCTCGTGAAAATAAAAGTATTGTTTCTTCTTTCTTGGTATAAGCAATGTTTGACAAGGACTGGCAATAAAAGCTCTTTCAAACTTAAGATGCGGAAATGTTGCAGCATTTTTGCCGAATTAACAGAAATAACGTTCGGTAGAACGGAAAATCGCGGAGGACATGTAGTCCATATTGTTTAGCTTAAAATTTCTTTGTAGATTGTCCGGATTATTTAGGAGTGTCATGTGCGCTAGTTTTTTTTAGCCGTAAATCAGGCAAATGTCAGTAGTGCAGCACTAAGCGATCTAGTACTTGTACTAACCGAGAAATTCTGTAACTCATTCAGTAACTGATTCTTACGCGGAAAGTCATCACTAGTACGGAGTGTTCGTAGAATTTCCCAAAAAAGTTTAGACAAAATTGACTTCAAATTTATTGTGGTTGTATGATTTATTATATGTTTAGGCACTATTTATACAGGACAAACACAATACGTTGCGGTTTATTCCAATCCAGACTGTAGTACACTATTATCCGATGAAGATGTTCTTTCGGGGCATTCATCTGTTGATTTTGAAGATGAACGATCAGTTATCTCATTGTATTCGAGCGACAGTGAGGTGCATCTCAATAAACAATTTTATGGATCAGTTCGTTCCGGACATGTTTGAAAAAGATTTCCCATGTGATTGTAGTCTGTTATTTTCGGAAATAATGGGGATTTTTGAACATTATTCTTTAGTTTTTTTTTTTTTTTTTAGGTTTTGCGAGACGTGTTGTAGTCTGAACTTTTTCAAAAGTAAAAAAGTAAAGGTATTTTAATTTATGGAAAATAACAGTAATATTGTGCTCGTGTCCTTAGTAAATGTTTTATTGATGACGATAAATTTAAAAAAGGCAAATTTCCAAAAAAAAGATTAAGTATATAAAGAGTGTGGTTTTCTTGGTTATTTTCTCTCAGCTTATAGTATGGTAGATGTAGAATTAGTGATATTGAAAAAAATTTGCTTTTACTTTTTTTTACTTGTATGCTTTTAGTGACAGTTCGACTATTCAATATCAAAAGGCATATTGTAAATAAATGTTAGTAATCATATAATAACGTGTTTGCCATTTTGTTAGTAAATATCTTTAAGAAAATTGAAGAGGAGAATGACGAGTGCACTGGGAAGCAACTGGTTTCGGTTGGAAGTTACTGGCGAGCAATACATATTCCAACTAAGGTTTCTTAGCAGCATTAATTTTCAAAATCGTTTTGAAATTGCTATTGAAAACTTTTTATTGTTAATTGGCGTTATAATTTCTTTCCCGAAAAGCTAATCTGTTTATATGAAGCACTGTCATCAATTGAAAGATTAGATGCTTGTGGCAGTCTTGTTGATTTCACTTGTTTAATTTATAGAACTCAGGGCCGGGTTTGTTTTATTTGCACTTTTTGGACAGTCCAGCTAGTTTTGAAGATGTGCGAATCTACCCTACATCTTTCTTTGGGAAGTACAGTAATATTTGGCATAGATTGCTGAAGATACCTGACCTCCAACATGATATCAAGTAAAACTTTTATTTAAAGGCAATAAAATTTCCTTCCTCAAAGTTTAATATACATAATGTTGATGATGTTGACCCGTAAAGTAACTCTCATTTTTATTCCGTCAGTCAGCATCTTATTTTTTATTCCACTTAATTCTTTTTATTGTTAAACGCGTCCAATTTTTCAATATAACCGATTCAAAAGATCGAAATTTTTTTTTAAAGCTACGACAAAGCCTTCTAATTATTTATGTATGGTAAGTACCCAGTCAAGTATTGCAGAGATGATGGGGAATTCATGCAGGTAGGCGATGTAGTGCGATCGCATACTGCACTTTTTTATGGTGGCGAACAAGTGGATGAGAAATTGAGGAACCGATTAAAAGCAGCATTTGCATGTCGACTTTCATATTCCGCCCCGAAGCCATTCAATGATAACGTATGTAATAAATTCTGTATTTTGCAGTTTGATCTATCACTATTAATTGCTTTATTATTTGGTTTGTAGGCTGCATTATTTATTTACCATTTACAATTCAAAATTTCATAACAGTTAAAACTTTTCCATAAACTGCTAATTGGTAGCAGTGAAAGTTATTTGTATTCTATCATTTTGCAGAGCTATTCTAGCGAGGCAAAGTCGTATTTTACTGGAAAGTTTATGACGAATCAGATCTTTGATGTATATGTAGTTAGAGTGTCACGGAGATACATTCTTGAAGTTGAAATTCTTTTGTCAGGAGAGAGTCTTTTCGATAAATTGTGTGAACTGTAAGTAATTGCTATTGATACAGAGTTTTTAATCAAATATTTTTCAGACATTGATGATGGACAAATTTTCATTTATTTTTAAACACTTTGGATTAGTATGAAATTGAAATTCTGTTAATCAGCAGCTTATTTTCTTCACAACATTCTTGATTACCCATAGATTTTTAGTGATTTTGCGCAACGTCGCTGGGGTTGGAAGGTACCGTCGTATAATTTTAAGTCAATAAATGAAGAACAGCTTGTCCAGCGTACTGATGATGAGGATGATGTACATTTGACTTTCACTGTACAAGTTGGAAGTAAACGAGATGATTTAATTCAGGTCTGTTATTTTGTCAGTTTTCAGAACAATGGTATAATTACTTGCGGAAATATTCTTATGGGATATACCTGTGAAAAATATGAATCTTTCCCCAAAATCTGGTTAGAGCATCAAGATTACCGAGATGGTAGTACCATACCATGAGTTAATTTGAATACGCAGCGATCGATTTACTAAGGTGCGACGTATTTGGTCCCTGTTTGAGATGACCGGCTGTTTTTCGTCTTTAATGTTAAGCTTAGTTCTCCAAAATTGTGCAAATGTTTGTTCTTTTCTTAATATTCTTTGTTATCACTTCTAAGTTATTTTACTTGTAGTTTCAAAAGCATTTAAAACCCAGCAAACATGTTCTGCGCAATCCTGAAATTGGTGACATCTGTATTGCCGAGTGTGAAGGTCAGCTGTTTCGATGTGAAATAGTTGATATGACTGATGGAAAGAAATCTTTCATCATAAGTTATGTTGATTATGGTGAAGAGCAAGAACTAAATGGAGATTCTCTATATGCTGTTGATAATCAAGAAGAAGTTAGAGATTTATTTATTTTTTAGGAGGTTCCATGCGAATTACTTGGGATAAATAGTCATTTTTGGTTCAGATTTTTATTGTTTTGCTTCAGATTTGTTGAGTTTGATCGATTCGCATATTTATGCCATTTATGCAGATGGCAGCCGCCTTCTTTTTCTGTCCTTGGTGTATTTACATGTTTCCTTAAAAGATCTTTTATTCCCCATCTTTGATTTTAGTGAACTGGTTTTAGTATATTTTATAAAACATGTTAGATTTCTTCTTAAACTACATCTGAAATTCTATGTTTTTCTTTTACAAGTAACATGTCATTGTATTTCATTCTAATATATCATTTGTAAAGCTTTAGATAGTTTTCGAAACTCCGGTATTCGGAATCAAATGTCGATTGGAAGAAATACGTCCTGCAGGCAATGGTTTAGATATACGAACAGGTGCTTGGTCACGTAAAGCGCTCAAATTAATCAACAATGTTATTCCATTGAATAAGAAATTCAGAGCATTTATTGGTCCACCTGATTCAGATGGTATCCATCCAATTCGGGTAATGCATGATTTACATGACTTTTTTATATTTCGGTCACTCAGACTCGAGGTTTCTATGAAATATCGGGTTATTATAATTTTTGTGGATCGTTCTGCATTTTCAGTTAGATGTCTAAGTGTTTGAGGTGATGTGCTGTCGATTTCATTGGCCTGTGACTGGAGATTCGTTCTATATCCAAAGTAAGGCGCTCAGTAAATAAGCTGTCATAAAAAAAAGAATTACATATAATTCATCAAACTCATCCTGCTTTTCTGTTATATTTAGATGGTGTGGAAACTGTGTATATTTTAGGTTGTTGACGAAACACTGTTACATAAGGATTTGGCTGCCACTTTGGTATTAAATGATTTGGCTGTGTACACACACTGTAATTATTACTCATCAGCGATAGATTTATCACCTGTGAAAAATCTTGAGGTGCAATATCTTAACATTGAGGACGGTGTTGTATATGGAATCCCGAGTACTTTTAAAATTTGGCTTAAAGATTGCCAAAATTATTTGGAAAAGGTGTTCATTCTATCTTGTTACAATCATTTTTATAGAAAATTATCCTCGATAAAAACCAGTATGGATATTGCATATGCTTGGTTCATTCCACATTTCGATGCAAACAATTTATACCCCAGGGTTGGGAAATTTCTTTGAAGATGCATAGGCAATTGAATAAGGGTGCTTCATGAAATTATTTATTCAGGTTATCCCTGAGCAAGTTTTATGATAAGTGGAGAATAATGTAATAAATAAACATTGCCTGTTATATAATTAATTTTTTTAACAAACTCATTTTTTTTCTCTTTATCTATCATTATTATTTGTTCATATCCTTGGGAAGTTTTTCGCATTACTGTAATCTGGAAATAATTCCTTAGCTTTCTCGCTTTATTTCAAGGTGTGGGTCTATGATGTGAAGACATATAAGAAAGATACAAAGGGTATTATTCTATACAAAAACAGTTATCGCCGTGTCATCAAGTTGCTTGAGGAAAGCAAGGATTTAAGAGAAGCAAAAGTATGCTTTACTATCTATGTAGTTGTTCGGTTGGCACTGTTGGTCAATCCTTATTTCCAAAAATGCAATTTACATTTTCTTAAATATCTCTTGTACTTTTCATTCACGTATCCAATGATTTTACTGAAAGAATATTTTAAGTAAAGGTTGCATTTATCCATTTTGTCATACAGTGACCTTTAACTGCATTTTTTTTGTATGTGTATCGCCCTATTGAAAATTTTGCAAATATAATATCAGATCTCTACTACACGTTTGATTATCTGAAGATTCGGACGAAGGACAGTTTAAGAATTTTCCAAGATAGTAGTCATACTGAGTCAATTTTCGTAAACTACAGCAGTAATTTATTGCTTTTGTGATTTTAGGAAAGGTATTTCCTTATCGATGAGGGAAGAACTATCGAATTTTGCGGGAATTCTGAAATGCCTATCATGATAAGTTTCTCTGCTCTAAAAGGTTATTTTTTTCCAACTGCGAGTTATTGATTTAAAACTCCATTCCGGTCTTTGCGGATCAAATATCGTTTTGTCGAGGACGACATGAAATGGATTTATCAGATTGGCAATTGGAAATATCACAGATTTATTTTATAAGACACTACAAATTATTTCATGCAATTTTAGATCCGCATGCTGCATTTTTTTTGCGTACATGCCCTGCACTTGCTATTGGTTTCGTTTTAAAAGACAGGAAGTTAACAGTGAAGCATGAAGAATTGTTGAAAAATCTCTGTTGTAGGAAAGAAAATGTGCTCCATGTATGCATTGTCGATAAAAAAAGAGTAAGATATTTTGTGATAAGTATGTATTCCTTTGAACTTTTTCGGTCTTTCCATAAAATCTGTACGATTGATCTCTCGAGGTATTGTATTTTTTTCTTGTTGGTTATCATGCTTTAAGCGAATGTAAAACCATCAGCAATTACTACTTAGCAGAACGTTCTAATGATGATGTATTGAACTACTACGGACATTTCTGGATTAATATCTTATCTTTAAGAATGGTCTTTACTCTGTTGATGACATAACATTCACTGATGGTACATCTTTAGCGAAGTTGGATCAAAACACTGAAGCATTTGCAGTTGATGAATTGTCGCCGACTGATAAATTGCTGATAACTGATAACGACAATTCATCGGTTTCTTTTTTCGTTATTTTAAAATGAATTTTAGGATTTGTCATTAATATGAACAGGAGTGGTTGTTGGTTTCTTCAGACTATTTCTTAGTGCTACATTTTAATACATATTAGTTCAAAGTTGTTGAGCTTTTCACAGATTGTCGTTTGTATGATGGTAAAAACTTTCGATTGATTTTAGAAATGATATGCTTGCAGAGGGATGACGATCTGTGGAAAAATGATAGTAATGTCTACTGTGAAGATTTTTTAGCAATGTTAATCTCTTCAAAGAACATGAAATTGCTGGAAAAGAAATAGAAGGTAAGCATACGCAATAGAGCTTAATTTTTAAACTTTTTCGTTTGCTAAAATTTGCCATTATCCATGGTTTGACTGTTGACTGAAATTCTTTGTGGATGATTTCTGGTGAATTAATGAATGAAGGGAAAAAAACCCGTTTTAGTCTCTTGATTTTGCATTTTCCAGTTTCTTGGTAAAATCCTGAAATTTGCTACCGATCCTATCTCCATAATGCTTTTTTCTGTAACTTCATATTTCACTGCGGTTTTTGAGTGTTAGACTATCAAAAGATTCATTGAGAGAACTGGAGCATCAGATCTTCGCTGTCTCTCTATTAACATATCGGAGCTTTCTTCTTCGGTAGTATTGCAAAAAAATTTCTTTGCTCTTTTGAAATAAAGTTATTGGTCGTTTTATTTTCAGATGATTTAGATGCGTTTTTGAATACTTATCAAGCACAGTGACTCCTGAATTTCAACTTTTGGAAAGTTGTATTATACTACGAGTAAAGGGAGAACGTTTCGTTCTTATCCTAAAAGATTTCTTACCCTAATTATGCTACGCAAATAATTTTGTAGGTTTCTCACCCGCTGTTCTTTCTTTGAGTTTTCAAAAAAAAAAATTACATTTATGCGCTACAATGCTTCTGTTTCTCATGTCTTCTAATTTTGAGAATTCCATGTGTCTGTTTGCGAAATTATCTTTGTGTGCTGACAAATTTAGTACTATCTCAAATAAATTTGAATTTTCAAATCCATACTTTTAACTTTCATATCTGTTAGTTTTTCTGATTTGTTTAATAGCCCTTTCTTGAAGCTATTTCTCTTGAAAACTTATTATTAAGTCAGCTATGTCATTATAGCCGTAATTTTGTTAACCCGTTTTCGCGGTATATCCTCTTTTCTTTTGATTATTCTTCATTATCGTTTTTTCTTTCTGTGGATAAAGATAATTTGAAATCAGCTTTAAAATTTTCGTATGGGATTCTTTCTCTTTTATATTACTGGAAAGTGGGTTTATTGTTTGTCTGAGGTATTCTATACTGTGTCCTATACTAAATGGTTCATCGACAACAAGATTCCACAGACGTGCATTACGTCCTTGTTCTCAGCTTCTAATAGCTTGTTACGCTGTATTAAATAGCCTTGGCTAGTGAATAAAAAAAAAATCGTAAATCGCGCTCGACAAAATGGTTAATGCATACTTGGTATTATATGCTTTATATATCGATGGAAACTTATTACAATTTTGAGCGCTGAAATTTTTGCTGCAGAAATAGCTCAAAACGATCCCTCAAAGGGAAAGAAGAAACTGCTTGAAGTTAAAAGTAGTCATACTGCCGGGGTATCATGTTAGGCATTTCAAACACTTCCGTAGCTAAATCACAACTTGATCGTTTCGCGATGTTTTCACAGTCTTTCATTTGTCAGATGATCTCTAACTTATTTGGTATAAACCTCAAGTGCCATAAAAAAAGTGATCAGCAAAACAGGACAGGCTAGTTTTGGGTCATCCAATTCATATGTTTGTGTGATTAGCAATAATAAGCTTTGATTGGCGTCCAAATTAATTAGACAGTTTTGGGACAGAATATAGTATAATCAAGCTCTCTCCCTAGACTATGCTTCTGTTTCGCAGCATTCCGTTCTGCTTGCAAATTGTTACTGCTGTTGCTATTACGCAACATCATTGAATAGATGAGTTGGTTGCAGCATTAACCAGAGAAATTCGTTAATCCAATCAGAAAGAAAGAATTGTTTTAATGACTAATTTTTGTCACAAATGATCTAGGTCAGAGTTATTTCACAGGAGGATTTAGAGTAATTTCTGGTTAATGGAGAAGTTCCGGAAGACTCATCATTTGGTGGAAATCCAACTATGTTATTTACTGATCTGAATTTAGGTAACTTCAAATTCCTGGCTTTCATCAACCATTCACTGGATGGAAAAGTAAGGAAGTATCACGAAAGAGAGTAATAAGGAGTAAGGAACTTTGTGATAAACGAAAATTATGCTTTTTGATGCAACCAAAGTTACTCGCAATTTTATCAATTAGGGAAGTAGATTCCTTGATGGCACTGCTTGACGGACGAATCAAATAGCTTCTTATGGTTTTGTGATGTTAACCTTGGAGATATCACGAAACAAATAAGATCGTTATCTTACAAGGTATTCGTCATTAGTCTTTAAGTCCCACCTTTCAATATTGTTGTAGGGTGTGAATCGCAAATTGAACTCATTGGTAAAAATTTATTTGAATTCAAAAATGCCATTAAATCATTATCACTACTGAAGATTGAAATGATACTGACCAGTGTAAAAAGCATTAGCAAATTTTTAGTACTTGATGGGATAGGAATCGTCGATTTTATTTTATTTTTTTTTTTGTTTCTAATGCTCAGTTTTCGAAAACGTTTCGAGAACTCCATCCTATTCTACTTATTGGCCATGACAAGCCTTTATTCTTTGCTAATTTTACAATAATAATCATAGAAGCTCTTATAACTGCCAAATATCAATGTCACACAAATCTTCCAATCGATATGCCTATCCCACATTAAATTACTTTGTTCCAAATGATACACAAATAACTGCAAAGACTAAATATTGTTAGCATTATTTACATGTAAAAATTTCATGGAAAAATAAAAGTTCAAACTATTCATACTATTGAAGCGTTTTCAAACAAACAAAAGCAAAAATTTTTGCCCCATTTGAAGACAACGGCTACATTGCATTGCATACTATCAAATTCTCAAATCACTTACATACTTTATATGAATGAAGTTCAAAACCATATGCTTTCGGATATGTTTAAAGTTTCAAACTTGAAATATGCAGCTTTTTT